TTTGTAAGTCAAATATTAGTGGCATTGTGCTATTAGCACAAGTAGCACGGCCAAGTAATTTATGTACAGTAGTCGAAAAAATTATAGCCGCACCAAATTTTGACAAGTTTTAAAATATTATTTTTGTTGTTATTTAATTTTGATTAGTTTTTTACAGTTCATTCTTTCACAACATCCGTATATATACAAGTTTAAATGCAGTGTCAAACGATTGGGTATTTGCCGAAATTTGTTGAAAATTGCTGAAATGTACCAATCTTTTGACTAAAATAAAATTTGTCCCAATTTTTTTATTTTGTACCAATAGCCCAATATAAAAATGTACAAATCTGTACAAATGGAACAATCTAGTGATACTGCCTTAAAAATGTATGCAGTTTTCGTAAAAATTTCGAGTTTTTTTTTAAATTCTGAGTATTAAGGTTTGTAGCACATTGAATTCTAGTTTCAAATGGCTAAAAATTACGGTAGATTTTTTAGAACATTTAAAATAACTCGAAATTTGAACGAAAGTTTATTGATTTTTTTTTAATATTGCACAAGGTTGGAAATTACACGGAATGAACTATATTATTTATAAAAATATAACAAAATTAATTTGCAACAAAAATAATACCTTAAAACTTGGCAAAAAGTGGTTCAGCAAAAATTTTTTGTCCACGCGCCCAATGTTAAGGAACTAAACTGTTTTCAGGTACTGTTCCAGTTACGAAAAATGTACTCCAAACGCGACTGCAAAATTAAAATTGTTTGCTTGCTGGGAAGAGCCGCACTGAGTTGATACCTTTAAGTATTGACCGATACTCGGTACCGATTTAAAAATTATCCAATTCTTTCGATACTCGGTACCCAAGTATTTAGGTCTCTAATAAGAGCGCATATAGGCCAAAAATATGAAAAAAATGGTTTAGGGGAGACTCGCATATCAAAAGCCGAATGTAGGGGCCAGAGAGCTTTTGATACTGATTTAAATGAAAAATGTATATTCCGGTCCATCGCCATACGACGACGATATTAAGGCCTGAGAGGCTTCCTCATCCGTCAAAGTATTTTTCTTTAACCATGGATCTACTAAGGTGAAAACTGATAAAATAATATTTCTCCCCGAAATCTATTTTAAACAGACTAAACTCAACCCTAAACTCAGCCATTATAATAGCTCTTGGAGCATACAGGACTACACCTGTAACTAATATTAGATGCGAAGCTAAAATACTGCCAATAGAACTAAGCCATGAGATGGCTGTACATAAACTCTGCAAATCCATTTCAATTAACGACAACACCTTACTACCTAATTTGGCAGTAAAACTAAAGAAAATAAAAGAAGCCTCTTTTGAATTCCATCAACTTTTAACCAAATAATAACAACAGCAAACGCATTAGACATTCCAATCAACTATAAGATTAGCAAACACTTTATATTTCCTCCTTGACTACTTCAACCTACTTCGATTAAACTCTCCCTACACCGATGGGCTGAAGCTACCACACCTACTGATATTTATACACAAGAGTTTCTTATTAAACAGGGTGACATGGTAAGCTATAGTATCATACTAGACCAAAAAAACAATTCTGACCACCCACTTGCCTAAATATAGCTCGAACTACGCGGCGGAACCTTTTGTGAAGGCACCGTTCGCTCGATTTCAATGAAACATACACCGATTTAAGGGATATAACTTCCTCTAATCGAGAAATGTTAATCCCTATATATAGGGGGCGTGGCATCTGACATATAGGCTAAAATGTGAAAACCACTATATCTCTAGAGCGAATTATGCTGGGGAACTGAAACTTAGCACAGATGCATAGATTGTGAATACCCTACTTACGGTGAAAAATGGTAGGTACTGGGAAACGGGGCGTGGCACCTCCTATACAAACTGAAATTCTCTTATCGGTCATCTCTGTAACCACCTATGCTAACGTCCTGAAATCTGGCACAGCAACATATGTTGTCAATACCGTACTTACGGCGAAAAGTGGTAGATTTTGGAAAAGGGGGCGTGGCACCGCCCATACAAACTGAAATTCTCATATCGCTTATCTCTGGAACCTCTTATGCTGACGTCCGGAAATTTGACACAGCAACATATGTTTTCAATACCGTACTTACGGCGAAGTTTGGTAGATTTTGGAAAGGGGGGCGTGGCACCGCCCATACAAACTGAAGTTCTCATATCGCTTATTTCTACAACCGCTTATGCTAACGTCCAGAAAATTGATACAGAAACATATGTTGTCAATACCGTACTTTCGGCGAAGTTTGGTAGATTTTGGAAAGGGGGGCGTGGCACCGCCCATACAAACTGAAATCTTCTTATCGGTCATCTCTGTAACCGCCTATGCTAACGTCCTCAAATTTGACACAGCAACATATGTTGTCAATACCGTACTTGCGGACTTATTTGCAGTCTGAATTGTTTGAAACATTAATCAGTGATGAACATCTTATAATTTCGAATTTCGTTTACCTGGGAATCAGCATTAACACCGCTATTAAAGTCAGCATCGAAATTCAACGTCATTCTTTTGCCAAGAAGTTGTACTTTGGACTGAATAGGCAATTGAGGAGTAATGTCCTCTCTCGTCGTACGAAAACCACACTCTATAAGTCACTCATCATGCCCGTGTTGGTATATGACGCATAAGCATGGACAATGATAACATCCGATGAGACAGCTCCTGGAGTGTTCGAGAGACCTGTATGAGCTTTACAACGACATGGGCATAGTGCAGCGAATTAAAATATAGCGGCTCCGCTGGCTTGGCCATGTCGTTCGAATGGACTCCGACGCACCAGCTCTGAAAGTATTCAATTGGGAACCCGCTGGTGTTATCGGAGGAAGAGGGGGTGATGGAAAGACCAAATAGAGAAGGACTTGGCTTCACTTGGCATTTACAACTGGCGGCAGTTGGCACAGAAGAGTAACGACTAGCGTGCTTTGTTGAATTCAGCCAAAATGGCTTAAGCGGTTACAGCGCCAAAAAAAAAGAAGAAGAAGAAACGCATGCTTTTAAAACATTTGCATATCACCAAACAATGAACGCTTGACAGTGAATGCTTGGGCCACTTAATTAACATACTAACGACAGATAAATTAATACTTCATATCAATATCTGCATTATAAACGGTATTTCTTGCCCACACTTGATTAAAAAGGAAAAATATTTCACATAATTTTATTTATTTACAACAGCTGACGAGCGACGCACGCGAAAAGATGACAGTTGGCCATATTTTTGCTTTGTGTTGGCGTGAGCGTTGCCGAATATTGGCTATGTGGACGGCTGCATTTGAATTCATGTATTCATAGTCATCTGTTGAAGCGACGCCAACGCCAAAGTTCTATGTGGACGGGCCTTAATTCACTTGCAAGTTTTCAAGTGTGTTCAATAACTTTTTCTGCTAGTTTTCTCTTCTTCTCAATTTTACGCTCTATTTTGCTTATACGCTCGCGCTGCAATTTTTTACTTTTTCTTTTACAAACCTAATAGCTCTGATCCAGTACTCCTTGAACTTACAGGTTTTTATACGATCTTGCAGGAAGTTGCAGGAAAAATGTTCCCGTATTCCAAAATCCCTTAAATGAGAGCGACTTTTGGAGAGGTGTGTAGAGAATGAAGTTGCAAGATTTTACCCGAACTTTTTCTTCTGGTAAAAGTTGCGTTCCTTATCTCCCAGAAATAGTCAGAAAAAGTCCGAAGTAGTCAGATTTAGTCAGATTTAGTCCAAAAAGCGTTCCTTAACTCGAAAATGACAGGAAAAATGAGAGAGCAACACTCAGTGAGAGTGACTCTCTTCGGTCGAATTAGTCAGATTTAGTCAGAGGAATTTTTGCTACCTAAATCTTGAAAAGTGTCAAACTCAACTGAATTTAAATTAACGGAAATTAAAGAATACGCAAAATGTGAGAATAATCTAAAAAGTAAAAAAAGTGAATTGAATTTGGAATGAGGCAAAAAATAATTGATATAGTAAGTGTTTATTCTGCTTGTGCTTGTGTGAATATGTTTTGTACATACAGTTCTATTCTTATTTGACGTTAGTTTTGTTGTTGCCATTCTTTGGATTAAAAGTTTGGTTTTTTGCGTTCCTTTACTTTTTCCTGTTATTCTCTTTTAGTGAGCTCATTTTGCTTACGCTCTGGCATTTTGACTTTTCAGATTTTAGTCCAAAAAGATAAGGAATGAACCTAAAATGATGAAAAGTGTCAAGCAATCACTGGTTGACGTTTTTACAGTAAAAATTGTTTTTTTTTTTTGTTCCCGTACTTTTTGTTGTTACTCACTTTTTACTCTCACTTCAGAGAGCAATTTTGCTGTTTGACAGTTTGACAGGATTTCTCACGAAAAGTATTGGATCAGAGCTAAAATATATAAGCACACATAGAATAAAACAGTACAAGTTATCGTAGTCATTCACAAACAGTTACGCCTTTTTTCATTGTTTCCTTTTATGTTGATTATCGAATAACCTGGGCGGGGACAAAAATTTGTATATGAAGTAGGTATAATACATCAAAGATATACCGTTCGCCAAAGAAAACAAAACAGATTTCAATAACAAAAAACAACGCATGTAATGGTGGTTCACTATTGGGACCGTACAATGCTGTTTTGACTTTTCGCTTTTACCACCGAAAAAATAATTTGAGATGTGGAGAAAAATAGCTTTTTGTTTGGAAATTACCCATATGTTATGCTTTACGAAATATACTCCGAAGTATGAATTCTATATGTTATTAAAAAAGACTATGTCCTTATTATCGCGGTATAATTAATGACATTAGTTAATTCTTTTGATAATAAAAATTAAAATGAAGTACCATAAATTGTAATTTTATTTCGGGGAATACCATTGAAAATAGGCGAATTTTTTGAGGAATTTGGGGATTTAGTCTTAATAGAGCTGGCATCCCTATTGGAAAGTGCGTAAATTTGTTTTGATTAGCAGCACTGTATACAACTAAAACAATGAACAGATGTTTTTGACTGCAGGAAAAGTATCACGGGCAAAGTTTTATTTATCGTTAGTTAACATTCCATAACTGGGACATTTTTTTCAATTATAAAGTTGCTGAGGATGTCCTCGTTGTTTGTCAATGTGCTTCGACAAGCATTCAAAACATTCGATCAAGCTAATCATGCTACTTTCAATGTTAATTTTGCGTTGCTAAAGGAACTAACTGAACAGCTCACATTTCGTGATATCCATATCCAGCCTCAACAATTTGAAGCGGTATTCAAAAGACCCAGACGAGCGCCATGCACTTATGTGCATATTTTCGAGAACGATATGGTGTCCATGAGCGTATTTGTTATGCGGGAAGGGTATACGATGCCTCTTCACGATCATCCATGTATGCATGGTCTTCTACGCGGAATCTTCGGAAAGCTAAAACTTCAGTGCTATACCAAACAGCCGTTAAGCCCTAATGAACCTCTATATGATCGAAGTGCAAGAGAGGTTTATGTTCATCCAAACGAACCAAAGATCGTAGATCCAAGTACAGAATCTGCTGTTCTAACGCCTAACGACAGTAATTATCATGAATTAACAGCAGTTGGCGGTATGGCTGCGTTCTTCGATATACTAAGTCCTCCGTACGAAGCTGATATACCACAATATGGAAGTCGACGTTGTCGTTTCTACCGTGTAGCAGGTACTCCAAGATTGACCACCGTCGTAAAAGATGGTGGATTACTTGGAAAGAAGACAGAGCAAATACCTTTAATATGCCTGGAACGTATTCCAACCCCCCTAAGTTATTATTGTGATACAGCCGATCCATCGGAAGAGGTAATTCAATGCACTTACCTATGCTCAGTCGAGGCATATAGTTCAACATAAGGAAAGACCGAAAGATAACGCCAAATTTTTATTTAACGTAGAAGTAAATATATTTAAGTAGTTGATGTTGTGATTATGTTTTATATTTTCGTATGGAATTACATATTTTTGTTTTAATAGGATCTAAAATCCTGTCTATGTCATCAGGCTTATCAAGTGTGTAACTATTAAAGTGCTGACAGATGACGTAATGAATGGTTTTAAATTTTAGAATAAGTATGAAAATTAATAAAGCATGACGATTTGATTCAAAAACCTAATGCATAATGATTTCTGTATGTAGTTAATACCAGGGTATTAATAACTCAATACCTTGATAAGTAAATAATATCAAAATTATTGTAGTTTTTTCAATCGATATTTATGACCTCTGATGTATTCAAATCTTTAGGCGGTGAGCTGCGAAAACGCTTGGACTTAGTTGGACCGTCTATTTCCTCATCGTCTGAGTCCTTAATCTCGGTTACCTCATCATCAGTCAGTGGAGATGGTTTGCGTTTGTTACTAAGCTTAGGTACCGTTGCTCCTTTAACAGGGCTGGTAACAGTTAACTTATCAGTCGCTGCAACAACTTTATCCTCGACGGTACATACATCGTCATCTTCAATTAAGGATAAATCCTCGTCGTTTTCAACCCCTTCTGCCACGCGACTTTTCTTATCAGTCGCTGCAACAACTTTATCTTCTGCGTTACATTCATCGTCATCTTCAATTAAGCATAAATCGTCGTCGTCTTCTACAACTTCTGTTATGCGACTTTTTTTGGATGTAGATGGGCCATCTTCGGCATCTTCCTCACCTGTTGATTCAGCTTTCTTATTTCCATTACTTTCCGCTAATATTGGTTCAATTTCTTTCGCTTTTATTTGGTTGCTTTCAGAAGCTACTTCGAATAAACTCTCATCGCGTTCTGCATCAAAATGTATTACGACAACGTCGAGCTCGTAGTTTTGGAAGAAATCGTCACACTTGAGAATTACACCATCAACGATGCCCAGTTCAGACATTAATTTGTCCTCATTACACTCCGTTTCGCCTTCTTCGGAAGAAATAACCACAATGCCCTTATTTGGCTCAACAACGTCCGGATTCACCATATTCAAAGTTTTAATAAGGACATCATCACGGAAATCTTTAATTCGCATTTTTTTCGTATCTATGCGAATGTGAACAGCTGGTTCAGAAGAACAAACTATACATTTCGGATTCGGAGCCGTAAGGATCTTTTCCGGGACCAGCAACTGCTGACGAGGGTTCTGACGTAAGCGCATATACACGGACTTGCATTTTTCGAGTTGTCCTTGCAAAACTTTAAATGCCTGCAAAACTACGACACCAGCAGTTATTGCGTTAGTCGTGGCAATAGCTGGAATAATATTGCCAGCCATAGATTTAATTTCAAAACGTGATTTGCGCCCAATTTCAAAAATGTATGCACGTATATTCGCACAAGCAGCTACAAAATCCATAGCAGGTTGATCATCTTTGTCCCAGACAAGTGCTTCGCCGTCATTAAGCTTGAGGTAGCTGGTTTTTAATTTCTTTATGCAATCTGCAAATACAGTGGAACATTCTGCTAAAGACCAAACTTTATGATAATGTTGCGTAGTATCCTTCGAAGCATCCGCTGATATATCATTTTCCGCATTATCCTTCTTTACCAATACGCTATCCCATTTTAAAGGTGTTGGCGCTTTACGTTCCTTCCACAGATTAGACATAGATAACAAGTATTTTATATCATCATAGAAGAACTTGTTAAAAAGTGTAGCCGCATCATAGTCAGCTTCCTTTGCCCACTGACGTGTATTTACTCGAACTATATTACCAGACTCATTCTCAGGTATATTGTCATCCATTTTCACTTCCTGTTCACCATCGCCGGCAGTATTACCTTCAGGATCCGCCATGTCTGGCGAAATATCCTCATCTTCAACACTTTCGCCAAACAACTGACTGGAATGATACAAATAAGATACTACCTATTGTAATATTTACAATGTCAAATTTGTCTTACTTGAAAAGATGTTTGGCCCAAACGATGCAGTGAATAGGCTCAGAAGGAGTGTTCCGAATAGTACAACCGGGAAATGTCTTTTGTTTTGCCTTTGGGGTGCATTCATAGCATTGAGTTAATCCTTTTTTTATCAATTCCACCTGGCCATTATAACCAGCGGTACCACTCTCAATAAGCGGAACTTCTGCATGTAGGCACATGCGATTAACGTGGTTACGTGCTGCCCGATTATCGAGGGCATTTAGTACAATGTCGAACTTTTTGAAGAAATTAACCCCATAGTCCGTTCTAGAAAAAATTTGTAGGAAACTTGTTATAGGCTTTAGTTAATTACAACTTCTTACTTACGCCATAATACTGTCATGATAAGCTTGAATTTTTACATCTGGATTAAATTGAAGTGCACTTTCACGCGCCACCTGAGCCTTGGATTTACCCACATGTTCTCGATGAAATAAAAATTGACGGTTTAGGTTGCTCAAATCAATTGTGTCTAAATCAATCTGTTAGTAAAAGAGAATTTATTATGAAAAGTTGATGCTCAATAGATATATAACTTACTATTTCGATATCTGGAAATCCGGAGAGTACCAAATTCTTCAGTATCTCGCAACCAATTCCGCCGGCTCCGACAACCAATATCTTAGATTTTCTAATTTTCTCCTGCAAAGTATTCGCAAATACACCATTCAAAGCTGCAGCCATTTTCACTTGCTTTTCTACCGAATTGTGTATGACTTGATATAATTATTTTTTGCACACGATGCGAATTCGGTTTGATTTAATACCCTCCTCTGAAAAAGACGCTGCTGAATGTGCTGTCTTTATTTTTTTGCAACAGTGATGCCGGACTTTTTCATTTTGAAATAGCGATATTATTTATTTAAAAAATTATCAGTCGATTACCAACTATGATCAACATTAACTTAGGGCGTGCTTTCACTTAGCGACATGACACTCAAACATCACCGGCAATGGCATACATCAAGATAGCCAACCGTTGAGCTATGGAAAAACTAAACAGAACACATCGATAGTACTTTTTCCGCTGATTTCAGCTATATAATTATTATTTGGCGCAATTTAAAAGTAACGAAGATATAAGAGGTTAAAAAATGTTGGATATATCAAAATAATAATATTTTCTAAACTACGTAACCAATTAAAAAGACAAGAGCGAGATTTCCAAGCATATGAAGACGGCCGGTATAATTAGGTACTGCTGCGCAGTGACAACTTCTTTTTTCACGAACTTCTGCTTTATGAAATAAAGGAAAAGCTGAAGATCAATGTATGTATGCCATACCAAGAAGCTTACTGCCCGTCTCCACAGGATAAAGTTTATATCTTGATACATATGCAAGGATATAAATAGCCAATGGAGGCCGCTCATTGCTCTTCAAGAGCAATATATATCAAAGCTTATATCTTGCCGGCAATTTGGTACTTTGACAGCTACATGTTCACTTGCATGGAAACTTCGTGGCGGCAATATTATTGATATTTTAATATAAAAGCAAATATTGAGCTGTTTTCTGTTAAAATATTTGTTATTATGTAATCGGATGTAAAATAGCCTATTTTCTTAATTTGTTAAGTCATTAAATCTGGCAAAAATACATTTTTTATGCGGCGTTTTTGCTGCATTTAAAATGCAACATTTAGCACTTTCGAACATATTTTTTCGAAGAGCGTTCATGCTATCGCATTTAGCAAATGTACATATACGCAAGTTCGACATCGTATGCTTTTGACAAACAGCCGTGTTCCAGTCGCTTATTCAGATCTGTATCTATTACGATCAACTCTCACGCAGAAGATAATGTGCAAAAACCCTACTGGAAAGGAAAAAATAAATTTTAAACCAAAAATTCAATACAAAAACTTGAATTGTTTTAACCATAACCGAACATTTGTTTGTGTATATATTCATTTGTCGGTGCTGTCAATTATAATTTCCTCACTTAATTAGGAAACAAACCAAACAGAGTTGATCACAAATTGATCCAGATTTCTATCAGCATCAAATCGATGTTGAATTTGCTTAACTTTACTTTATCCAAATATGTAATGCAAAATAAAAGAAATCTCGATCGGCGATCACTGAAACGCAGCTAGCAACTGTATACTCGAAATAGCAATGTGGCCACCTTTTCTCTTTAAACCATGTTCGAATCGTGGAAATTTTGGAAGATCACAGGGTTGCTTTTAGCATTTAGATTCTTAATGCAAAAATGGAGTTGCATTTAGGTGACGAATTTTGTATGCATAAATGTACATTTAGAGTAGCATTTAGAGCTAAATGCGCTAAATGTGCTTTTACGCGTAAGCAAAAACAGCCTATTACGTGTTACAGGCTAACCTAATATCCGCGGCTTGCGGTTTGGTACGCACGCAATCGAATTTGTTTTTTTGCGTCGCCCGAAATTGGCTTGCTTGCGTTTGCATTTGATTTCATTGAGCGAAATGTCAAATCAAAATGTCACGCAGAACAAAAATTGGAAATTGAGTTAGCTTCATACGCACGCCGTTCAATTTCGGTTGGTCCCATACAAGTTGTATGTGCATGAGAAATTTTTGACACTAAATTGGCGGCGTGCGTGAATATTAGGTTAGCCTGTTACTGTTACTGTTACGTGAAGCAAAACTGGAATCTAGTTGACGATATCGCACAAACGATCAAACAATTTTTGATTTTTATGAAGCAAGACAATCAACACACGATATCGTTCAGACGATTGTCGTCATACGTGATTCATGCGCAGAGTTGATTACAAATTGATCCAGATATCTATCAGCATCACATCGATGTTCAATTTGCGTAAATTTTCTTTATACAAATAATGTAAAATAATAAATGAAATCTCAATCGGCGATTACTTAAACGCAGCTAGCCACTGTATACGCGAAAAAGTAATGCTGCCACTTTTTCTCATTAAAGCATGTTCGAATCGTGGAAATTTTGGAAGATCGCAGGGTTGCTTTTAGAATTTAGATTCTCAATGCAAAAACGGAGTTGCATTTAATTGCATTTAGGTGACGAATTTTGTATGGATAAATGTACATTAAGAGTAGCATTTAGAGCTAAATGTGCTTTTCCGCGTAAGCAAAAACAGCCCATTAGGAGCTATTTCACATTAGCACTGATATAATTTATATCTAGCGGCCAAAATGACAGCTGGGCAGCAATAAATTTAATCCTATGGACCATGTCAAGATTTCTTAAAAACAAATGGATGGATTTTGAAAATTTTGATCCAATGGAAATAGAAAATAAGAAATTTGATGCCCTTTAATTTGGTATACATAATTTATATATCTGTTGTACAGTTCTTACAAAAATTTAATTAATGTAAAATAATTATAAAAAAAACACCTTTTGCCTTCGCCGCACTTAGGAATTATAACCCTCACAAAGTAGAATTCTTTTTTCTGTTTACAGAGAACGCCTTTCAGCGTAGGCGGCCTTCGGTCGCACTTAGGGATTATAACCCTCACAAAGTATAATTCTTTTTCTGTGTTGTGAAGAAAAGGCACTGAACGCCTTTTATAGAGAACACCATCGGCCGCACTTAGGGATTATAACTCTCACAAAGTAGAATTCTCTTCACTAAGGGTTTGTAAGCTTTTTTTTATAATTAATTTACATGAATTCAATTTTTGTAAGAACTATACAACTTATATATAAAGTACTTATACCAAATTAAAGGAAATAAAATTTCCTATTAAATGAGATCAAAATCTATCCATTTGTTTTTAAGAAGTCTTGATTTCCAAAATATAATATTTTGAATTTTAACCTTTGATACTTCTTGTTTTTGTTGTTTCCCAACAAAATAAGTATACCGTTATACTCAGCTCAATCAACTCTATCGATCCCAGTATATCTTTTTATTTGTGATTTGGAGCCAAACAGCATTTATGCCCGGTTCGAGTGTTCTTTTCTGACTCGCTTTAAGTAAAACGCAGCTATATAATCTGCAGAGTTCCTACAATGGCTTTCCAACTATCGTTTCGGGACTGTTATAACTAACGATATATTAATTCTTGCGCCATTGGCATCTCTAATTTGCCACTGTATTGATTAGAAAATCATTGCACTTTATTTTGGAAACAAAACCTGTCGCGGTGTTTGGAGGAATTGAAATTAACACCTCTTCAGGAATTACATTCCCCTTGAAACCAATTTTTATGGACATTGTAGGTACAAAATTGCCGTTGTTGACAGGATCACGTCTAGTGATCCTGGACACAGACTTAACTTCAACCCCCGACTGCATGTTAAGCATTAATTCATCGTCTAAAAAGTCTACCGGTATTTGACGTATCACTCCATACGTCTCCATAAAGCTTCGCGGAATAAAAACCCGAATTCCCATCTGGCTCAGTTTCTCGTTATATAAACTATTATTTGCATGACTAATTGTATCAAAAAACACTTTATAAAGCGACCTACCGATTGCTAAAATGTTTTTCATTCCAGCTACATTAAGTTTACGAATTTTGTCGAACAAAAAGAGACCGTTTTTAATACTTTTATTTTCAAAGCTGGTACTCTTGGACGTATCCATTAGTACAACAGCTTCACCTCGATAATCAGCATCGTACAGATTTTCCACCATCCGCTTTTCTTTAGACAAGTCACTTTTTCCACCAACACTATTTTCACACCCATCTGTCCCACCGTTTACAATTTTAATTTCCTTATGAACACCCCCGCTTTGCATTACAACCGTAGCATTTATGTTACCATTGTCTGATACCGGCCCACTGTTTGCTAGAAAGCTAGAGCTTGTGTTTGTTGTTCCAACTGTACTACCCGTCCTGTTGTAGTTGCCTGCCATGTTATTGCCTACCATACTTATGTTGCCTGCTATGTTGTTGCTGCCTGCCAAATTGTCATTACCGACCATTTTGTTGCTGCCTACACCATTGCCTACCGTCGCTTCATCTACGATATTGTCCGACTGTGCATTTATTACATAAGTTCCCCTCTTCACTAACATGCCACTCATTGGAATTATGGGAGTCATGGAGGTAACCCCCATGTCCTCGTCCGATTCTGTAAACTCCTCTAACAACTCATTTGCATCTTTTTTTTTCCTTTTAGATCCTGTTCTATTTTTTTTCTTAAACTTGCTGCCATTACCAACCATGGCAGGCGCTAGCATAAAAGCCGCACCGTCCATATTGGTATTTTCAGGCGACGCCGAAGCGTCCGCCATTTTGTGCTAATACGCCGCTGCCCAAGCCAAAAAACAAACTTTCAGCTACCAGACTTACCCCAATCAACACCGCTTGAATAGCCAGTTATTCCTCTTCTGCACTTAGCTTACACACTTTAATTATCACCAAGATTTTTATATAAACAAAGAATAATATAATTTGCGAATACTCCAACTTGGATATAAAAAAAATGCCAACCACTTGCTTGTTGCTCGTTCTCAAATCCGCTGCGACAATACACGACCGCTCACATCGACGTTAAGACCAAAATGATGTCATTGAAGCCTAAAAGGCAACAACAAAAATGTAAACAAACAAAAGGGAATGTCAAAAAAAGCAGTCACTGACAACGCCGTATTGTGTTTGCTGCGGCATTGACTGCAAATATTAGCAGTAACATGATTCAATAATACAAGGTTTGATAAACTGACAGTTGTCTCTCTCGCACCGCTCCCTTAGCAGTGGCA